CGCCAGGCTGGAGTATACTGGCATGATCTTGGCTCACTGCAACCTCAGTTTCCTAGGTTCAAGCCATTCTCCTGCCTCAGCCTCCTGAGTGGCTGGGACTACAGGCACACACCACCACATCCAGATAAATTTTGTAATTTTTTTAGTACAGACAGGATTTCACCATGTTGGCCAGGATGGTCTCAATCTCCTGACCTTGTGATCTGCCTGCCTCAGCCTCCCAAAGTGCTGGGATTATGACATGAGCCATTGCACCCAGCCAGTTTGTTTAACACTTGAAAATGAACCTTAGTGTATGTTTTTGCTAAAACATGATCAGTATTATAAAGAAAAATCATGGATATCTTGGAATGGAATAAAAATTCTCAAGAAATCAGTGGCAGCTAATCAAAAGTGATTTCTGTTTAGAGAATACTTTGTATTTGAAGCTCATGACCAAATTAGAAGATTTTTAAAATCTAAATATATAATAAGAAATAAAAACTTTTTTATTTAGGAATACATGAACATTAATCTTGATAATGTATACTGTTTATTATTAAGTAGGGTCTTAGGTTTCTAAGTTCATTTATGAAAACCTTTTATAGTAACAAATCCTCAGTATGTCTTTTATTTTAATGTAACCATTAATTTATTCGTTTAGTAACCATTTAGTCCAAAATGACTCAAATAAGAAAAATTCACTGTTAGCCTCACATACTATCAGGAAATAAAGCAGGCAAGCCAATGGCTGTGGTTCTTTTGAATATGTGATACTGAACATTCCAAGATGTTGGATACCATCCTTTATATGGAGCTTGGTAATGTAATGTGGTAATATAGTTTGGGAATGTAATTTGGTTCATGGTAATGGTAGGGCTGAGGGTAAGACCAAAGGAAGCAGAAATTCTGTTACCCCCATATTCTGGTTTACAAATGAACTGTTTCATTTGGCCTGCACAGGATTTAAAAAGCTATAGTTCCCTTTAGCTCCTCTGTTTCCCTGTTAGATTTGGCCCATGCCCTTATACCTTCCTGGCTACCTCTGTGTCATTTGAGGTTGCCATCCTTGCTCTAGGGAATAGGAACGTATTCTTAAAAGGATTTAGACAGAAGAGTGACATGATTAGATTTGCTGTAGAAAGATAACTTGATACATGTGGAATTCTCCATCTTTGGTAGCAAAACACTGGAAATGAGGAGCTACTTCAAAGATAGCATTAACTAAGCTAGGGAACAAAGGTGGGGGCTGAAGGAATGGAACAAGAATACTATAAAGTAGCTTTCTGACTTAGTAACCAGTGGATGGATAAACGTGAATATTAGAAGAGGCAAATGGGTTGGTGAAGAGAAGTGAATTCAGTTTCAGTATTCGTGGAATAGCCAAAAGATCACAGGTAGTTGTTTCTGCGAGGCTGAAGAGTTAAGAATTGGCAGGCCTCAAATCTGTAGATTCTAGACTGCAGGTGGTGCTATTGTGTAGAGCCTTTTGGCTAAGAAATGGAAAAAAGGGAGATGCTGTGAAAAGCAGGAAAATGTTTGGAAAGCTAACCCAAAGAGATGCCAGACATCATTGCTTCCTATATTGTAGCTGCCTATATTGAAAATAACTTTTCCCACAGTGAATGTTTTTATCATTTCAACAAGCTTCCACTCAAAACACATTCATAGAAGGACTCAATGAAGTACTATTCATTTGCATTACCAACTCATAATTTTATAATGTTGAAAAAAAGATAATAGATAATTTTTGGTTTGTAGGGATATAGCAAGTCTGAGCAAAGCAGAGCACTAGGAAGCTTATAATAGCTTAAGATAGTGAAACACTGGGGATCTAGGGAGAAAGATGAGGCATGATTAGGAATATGTCAGTGACAAATTTTACCTGCTTGGAAGTATTATGGAAGCCAGCTTCTAAGTGTGATCTGCAGTTGAACCACCAGGGGAACTAAAATGCACATCCCTAGATCCTACTCCAGACCTGGTTGCACAAAATTTCAAATTTTTTTTGGGCAGTAGAAATTAAGAACCACTCCAAATCCTATCTCTAGCCCAGTACCACCTCCTACTCCCCACAAATTTGGGCTTAGTTATAAACTTCCTCTTTTTTTCCTTTTTACTTGATGTGGCTTTTTACTATCAGGTCTTAAATTTGTATCATTAGCAACATTGTTTAGCTACTTATAGGTTAAATAGAGGTGTTTTTTGTTTTTGTTGTTGGAACAGTTGATTGAAGACCTAATCACGGTCTATTAAATAAAAGGTTCTAAATGTCAGATAAGTCATTCACTTCTTTAGTAAGCTGGAATAAGGCCTGTGTAACCTGTATGGATAGCTCAGTTTCTGGCTGCTGCATCCTGAGTTAATATTTGAAAATTTTCCAAATGGATTCTACTGCACTGTAGAATGATTAGTATTTCATAAACTGAAGTCATTTACAAATAATTGTATGAACAATAATTCAAAGTTTTTTCTCAATTTGTCCATTTAATATGTGTTATATATTTGAAACATTTTAAGAGAAAAATGGTGTTTTATAGGAAAAAAATTGCTTGAAGTTTTATTACTGTACTGTAGAGATTTCTGGAATTTTGATATTAAAAATACTGAATGATCTCTTTTTATACTTTGAGGTTTATTGATAAATGACCTTTTTCTAAAGATTAATTAAAGCTGAATTACTCTTATACATAACCTTTCTCAACCAAGGTTCCCCACCTGGACCACAAAACACAGAAAATTATTTCACCGTTTTTTGAATTCTCCTAAGTTTAGTACTTAACTGGTACTATTCTGGAAAGCAGAGGGAAGAAGCTAATTATTTACATTCACTGGATGCCTAAGGCAAGGTTCTTCAAAGCTGGCCTTGGATAGTTTTTATGTTTTTTTACCATTAAAAAAATCAAAAGACTTATAATTCTTGATGTGAAAAATGCATGAAGTTTATATTTTACTGTCCATAAGTTTTTATTGATGCCTATTCATGTATGTATTATCTTTCTATGGCTGCTTCCCCACTATAACTGCAGAGCTGGGTAATCAAGACAGAGGCTCTAGGGCCTGCAGGGCTAAAACTATTTACTGTCTTTCCCTTTCCAGAAAAAACTTGCTGGCCCCTGCCTCAGAACCTTAGGTCGTAAGTCTCACAGAACTGGTTGAGAAAGGATTTGACTCTAAGGAGAATTACTATTTGAATTTATTTGATGGTTTATTCAGATAATTTGTTCAATTTCCAACATAATACCAATGCTTATCTTTCAGATTATGCCTTCCCGTATATTATATTAGTGTTATCTTTGGTTACTCTGGCTGTGTACATGTCTGCTTCTGAAATAGAGGTAGGAAGTCTTTTTTTCCTTTGTTAAATACTTTTTTAATATATAAATATAACAAGTGAATATCAGAATAGTCCATATGATATGATATAGTAGAGCTAATTGTTTTCGTGATCTTTGGTTGATGGATGCCACTTGGTAGCCTTTAGCTTGTTAACTTTATAAAAAGCTGTGTACTGGACTATGTAGTTCCATGGGAAATTAGCAAAATAGTGAAGTAGTCAGGCTCAACTATCCAGCATGAAGGAGAAAAGTCATTTTACATAAACATAATTATTGAAATGTTGAAACTTATTAACACTATTTTGAGAAAAACCATAAAAATGTTTTATATTTAGAACTAATTTTAAACTTTATTTTACAATGGCAACATTAACAGGCATCAATAATTGTGCATTTCATATCCTTTTATGTTTTATCCCAGATTTTATTTTCTTGATTATGGATGTTTACTTTTACCCCATAATGTTTGGGGGATTTGGAGCTAACATTACTAGCCACATTATCCTGATACTGTTCCTTTATCAGGGTATCCATTTTGTACCTCTAACTTTTTAATATTTCAGTGGAAGGCCACTATTATAAAGAACTCCTTTTTTAAAATTGTATATGTCTTTATTTTTAGAATATTTTTGGCCAGAAAAGTCTCTTTTGACAAATTTTTAGTCACTGGGTAGAATAGAACATCATGTCATCATATCTATATTTTCACATATTCTGTTTTTAAGGAACTAAGCTATTGCTCAAAAACATGAACAACAAATGAGAAGTAATAGTGTATTTGACTCTATGCCTAGGGAAAAATGTATTCTTTAAACTTTAAATCAAAATGGGCATTCTTGTACATTATGTGTTCATATGGAATCTGACATTTTCTTTCTAAAATAATTATGTGGCTCTCTACTGTTAATATATCACATTTAAATGATTACTTTTAAATACGTTAATGGCTCTGATTTAAGAACTATTCTGAGGCTAAACTCTAAAGAAAGCAAAAGTATAAAGTGTCTTAATTCTCTTCCACCCAAACTTGCTAATCTAGGGCCTATGAACTGTCTTAAACTACCCATCACAGTTGATATGTGCTTTCTCATAATTTATAACATAAAAACACTCAACCCAGAGAAAATAAGTTGTAAACTATTTTGGAGTGGTTACTGTTGATGCCACTTCTTCTATTACCTTAGTCAAAGACTGAGTGGGGGAAAACGTCTAGAAATCATAGTGACTTTTGAGTAGGATAATAGTGGAGGAACTAGACAGAATATATTTATAGTGATTATTCAGTTGTTTTCATCTGTAGATCATCCTCATTTTTCCTTTGTAATCATTAACCAGCATTGAAATATAATTAATTAAAGAAGATAGGCAAATTAGTTTTGACACTTTTATCAACTCTAGGGAAAGATTTGAGGGAGGAAATAATTGGCTATTTGAATAAAATGAAGTTTTTGAATTTTTATTTCTTATCCATAGTTAAGAATTAGCTATACACTGTTAAATTAGCTTGAAACTTATTTGTTTCTCTGCCTCTGTGAATCTCCTGTATAAAATGTTCACATACTTCAAATAGCATGAAATGGGGACCTAAAGCAGGAAAGACAGTTTAGAACTGGTTGAGTTGATGAGCTGTTTAATGATAAGAGAAAGTTGGTAAGTAATCTATTGCAAATTATGTTTTAATGTGTTTATTAGCACATTTAGATATTAATTTTATATTATTTTGTTCTAATTTCTGCATACTATGCAGTGGTATTAAGGATTAAAAGAAAATCAGACTGTTCATGTGTCATTTCTGCTTCCTTACTATTCATGCAGCAGGCTCCAGGAATGTTATAGGTTAAGGAGGTTGTTTCTGTACCTCCTATTTCCCACCTATAGATCCATAGTGACAGTGGATCAGGGCAGGAAGAAAGCACGTAAAGTGGAGTTTCCCTTCTAGTTCATATCTTTCTTTCAGAAGGAACTCTAGTGTTTACAGGAGTGAATGCTGGCATAGACAAGGACCTAAGAGACATGATGACGTGGCTCTCATCTTGGTGCTGCTACTGAGTGCTTATATGACCTTAGGAGCCTCACTTTCCTCATCTGTAAAGTGTGGTGGCTAGACTGAGGGGTTTCCTAAGTCTTTTTTAGCTCAAACATTTTATGATTCTGAGATTATAAATAATATATTTTACATTAAAATATATTAAATTACCCAGCTGATTTAGCCTGATAATCTGTATTTCTCTTTTCTTTCTTTTATAAAATTGTATAGAACTGCTATGATCTTCTGGTCAGAAAGAAAAGACTTATTGTTCTCTTCAGCCACTGGTTACTTCATGCCTATGGAATAATCTCCATTTCTAGAGTGGATAAACTTGAGCAGGATTTGCCCCTTTTGGCTTTGGTACCTACACCAGCCCTTTTTTACTTGTTCACTGCAAAATTTACCGAACCTTCACGGATACTCTCAGAAGGAGCCAATGGACACTGAATGTAGACATGTGAAATGCCAAAAACTTAGGAAGTGTTCCTAATAAAAAAGTAAATAAATCTTAACAATGTATGAGAACTGTTCTGTCATATATGGGAACAAGATTATCGGTATATCTTAATGTTTGGGTTGTTTTTGTTTAGTTCATGGTTAGACTTGGAAAATGCAAAACCCCTAAATACTCTGTTACACAGGGTAATATTATCTGCTACATGAGAAGCCCACTAGGAAGCACTTGCTTCTCTCAACAGTGCAGCTGTTCTTTAGAGCAAAATCCTGTTTCTGTGTACCTAGCAATGTGTTCCCATTTTATTAAGAAAAACTTACATATGTAATCTGCAATCCTTAGCAGTGGCATAATTGTGTGCACCTCTTGTGTTTCAGTTTGTTTTTCACCTATAATGAATTGTAAAGACAAACATACTTGTGGCGTCTGATAGCAAACATAGAAATGATGTATGTTGTTTTTTGTTATCTGTATATTTTCACCAATACAGTATTTTGATATATTGCAAATAGATAATAATTTATATAACAGGTTTTCTGTTTATAGTTTGGTTCAAGACTTGTTTGGATTATTGTTCCTGTAAAGAAAACAGTAATAAAAAGCTTGACTACATAAAATTTCAGTGTTTTGACACTTAATTGTTTTTTGGCACAATAGTATGGAAGTAATTCAAACTAGTAGTTTCCTCTTACATCTGGGGCATATATACATACCATATTTTATTGATCTAGAGATACTTTTTATTTCACGTGACATCTCTGAATTAGAATGCATCTTACAACTGATGGCATATTAGATTTAATAAAATACAGAAGATACACAATATAAAAATGGTTTTTCTGTGGATAGTTTGTTTTTTGTGATAGGTGTTCTGTGATGTTTATGCTCTGAAGGCTTTAAGAGACTCATGGATGCAACTATGGAAGCAAAATAAAGTTTTTAGCACTTAACCTAACAATCTGACCATGTTTATCCATTTTTATTGTTTAGAAGTTTATTTACCGGTTCTGCTACTTGGTGGTGATTGTATGAATTAAATTTTAAACATTTAAGACTTCTATTAATAGCTGCAAAATGTGAAAGTAAGTGCACTCACTTTTCCTGTAGTTGTGTTTGTCTTTTGAATTCACAGCAGTTGTATCCTTTCATTATTTTGTTAGTTATTCTTTGTTAATATATTTTTCTCAGTACATTTAGCCTCTGGGAAATGAACTCTTTTGGTACCACTGTGTTTCTTCTTTTCTGTAGGAATAAAAAATAAATGTAAAAATTCTATTTGTATTACATATAGCTTTGTGTGGTTATTAGTGTTTATTAAAATTCTGCATTGCCCAAAGTATCCTCAATTAGGTAATTGTATAATCGGGTGGAGTAGGGAGGGTGTCATGTGTCTGATTACTAGGACTATATCTTCTGGTCCACTTGGAGCCATTTTAACAATCATGTTTTCAGATGTCCTGTTCTAGCAGAAAAGTATGTATACAAATGAAGAAATTATAACTACAAGGCCCCAAGGGCAAATAATTTCCAGAATACTTAATATAGATCTGCATTTTTAATTTGCTTTGGTAAGAATAAGACTGGAACAATTCATAGCCACTGTAGTTGCTAATGTTACTAAATAATTTGTTAAAACATGGTCATTAAAAACGTTAAAAACAACCCTTGTCTTAGTTCAGTTTTGACTTAGGCCCTTGTAGCACATCACAATTCTAGTCACTACAGTGTATGGTAATTATTTTGCTAACCAGTCCTGAATAGGTAATTTAAAAGTCAAAATACAGGTTGAATATCCCATATCCAAAAAAGCTTGAGACCAGAAGTGTTTCAAAATTCAGGGTT